CAGAATGGGGCAGCAGCAGTGGGGCCGCAGTGGGCAGCAGTGGGGCAGCAGTGGGGCAGCAGTGGGGCAGCAGTGGGGCAGCAGTGGGGCAGCAGCAGCAGGGCTGCAGTGGGGTGCAGTGGGGCAGCAGTGGGGCAGCAATGGGGCAGCAGTGTGATGCAATGGGGCAGCAATGGGTCAGCAGCAGCGGGGCTGCAGTGGGGTGCAGTGGGGCAGCAGTGGGGCAGCAATGGGGCAGCAGTGTGATGCAGTGGGGCAGCAGCAGTGGGGCAGCAGTGGGGCAGCAGTGGGGCAGCAATGGGGCAGCAGTGGGGCAGCAGTGGGGCAGCAGTGGGGCAGCAGTGGGGCAGCAGTGGGGCAGCAGTGGGGCAGCAATGGGGCAGCAATGGGGCAGCAGTGGGGCAGCAGTGGGGCAGCAGTGGGGCAGCAATGGGGCAGCAATGGGGCCGCAATGGGGCAGCAATGGGGCAGCAGTGGGGCAGCAGTGGGGCAGCAGTGGGGCCGCAATGGGGCAGCAATGGGGCAGCAATGGGGCCGCAATGGGGCAGCAGTGGGGCAGGTGTGGGGCAGCAGTGGGGCAGCCATGGGGCAGCAGTGGGGGGGGAGAGGGGGAGGCCGCAATGGGGCCGCAATGGGGCCGCAATGGGGCAGCAGTGGGGCAGCAGTGGGGCAGCAGTGGGGCAGCAGTGGGGCCGCAGTGGGGCCGCAATGGGGCCGCAATGGGGCCGCAATGGGGCAGCAGTGGCGCAGCAGTGGGGCAGCAATGGGGCCGCAATGGGGCCGCAGTGGGGCCGCAATGGGGCCGGCTCTGACCTGCACCAGGCTCTTCTCGATGGTCATGAACATCTCCACGTTCCGGTCCATGCGCGACGGGTTCTGGAAATCGAAACGCCGCCTTGTTGGGAGACAAGAGGGAGGCGCTGAGAGCCCCAGCCCAGCCCCACGGCGGGCTATGGGGCAGCCCCACTGGGGTCCATGGGGCAGAGGCACGGCTCAGCCCCACAGCGGGCTATGGGGCAGCCCCATTGGGGTCCATGGGGCAGGGGCACGGCTCAGCCCCACGGCGGGCTATGGGGCAGCCCCACTGGGGTCCATGGGGCAGGGGCACGGCTCAGCCCCATTGGGGTCCATGGGGCAGGGGCACAGCTCAGCCCCGTTGGGGTCCATGGGGCAGCCCCATTGGGGTCCATGGGGCAGGAGCACGGCTCAGCCCCATTGCTGTCCATGGGGCAGCCCCATTGGGGTCCATGGGGCAGGAGCACAGCTCAGCCCTGTTCGGGTCCATGGGGCAGGGGCATGGCTCAGCCACATTGCGGTCCATAGGGCAGCCCCATTGGGGTCCATGGGGCAGGGGCACGGCTTAGCCCCATTGGGGTCCATAGAGCAGGGGCACGGCTCAGTCCCATTGGGGACCATGGGGCAGGGGCACAGCTCAGCCCCATTGGGGTCTATGGGGCAGCCCCGTTGGGGTCCATGGGGCAGGGGCACAGCTCAGTCCCATTGGGGTCCATGGGGCAGCCCCATTGGGGTCCATGGGGCAGGGACACAGCTCAGCCCCATTGGGATCCATGGGGCAGGGACACAGCTCAGCTCCATTGGGGTCCATAGGGCAGGAGCATGGCTCAGCCCCATTGGGGTCCATAGGGCACAGGCACGGCTCAGTCCCATTGGGGTCCATGGGGCAGCCCCATTAGGATCCATGGGGCAGGGGGGCACTCACCAGCCTTGGTCACTCTTGAACTTGTAGGCAGCGGCCAGGATGTGGCACAGGGACCCCCCCGCCTTGAAGTCCAGGAAGCATTTGATCTGCAGGGGGGGAACGGGGGCACTGGAGGGGGGGGTGCGGGGCCAGCCCCACATCTATGGGGCACTGCCCTATGGCGGAGGGGGCACTGTCTCAATGGGGGTGGCACCAATGGGAGTCCCCTGGGGCATCAATGGGGCCTCAGTGCACATCTATGGGGCACTGCCCCATGGCGGGGGGGGCACTGTCTCAATGGGGGTGGGACCCATGGGAGTCCCCTAGGGCATCAATGGGGCCTCAGTGCACATCTATGGGGCACTGCCCTATGGCCGGGGGGCACTGTCTCAATGGGGGTGGCACCCATGGGAGTCCCTTGCTCATTGGTGAGGGGCTGTCCCTAGGGCATCAATGGGGCCTCAGCCCCCATCTATGGGGCACTGCTCCTGATCCATGGCCAGGGCACTGTGTCAATGGGGTGGGACCCATGGGAGTCCCCTGGGGCATCAATGGGGCCTCAGCCCACATCTATGGGGCACTGCTCCCCATAACAGTCCCCTGGGGCACCAATGGAGCCTCCCCCCCATCTATGGGGCACTGCTCCCTATAGCAGTCCTATGGGGCACCAATGGGGCCTCCCCCCCCCATCTATGGGGCACCAATGGGGCATCACCCCCCATCTATGGGGCACTGCTCCCTATAGCAGTCCTCAGGAGCATCAATGGAGCCTCCCCCCCATCTATGGGGCACTGCTCCCTATAGCAGTCCCATGGGACACCAATGGGGCATCACCCCCCATCTATGGGGCACCAACGGGACCTCCGCCCCCATCTCTGGGTCCCAGCGCTCCCGTTTCCCCGGGCCCCTCTGTGGCGGCGCTGCCGGTCCCGGTTCCCGTTCCCGTTCCCGTTCCCGTTCCCGTTCCCGTTCCAGTTCCCGGTTCCCGTTCCCGTTCCCGTTCCCCGGTTCCCGTTCCCCGGTTCCGGTTCCCGTTCCGGTTCCCGTCGCCGGTGCTCACCGGGAGCTTGGTGAGCGGCGCGTTGCTGACGTGCTTCCCGAACACCTCCTCCTGGAACTGCAGCAGCTGCACCACGAGGCTCGACAGGGACTTGTTGGTGGGGGGCTCGGCCTGGATGTACTGCGGGCACCGGGGCCGGTGTGTGGGGAACGGGGGGGGGAGCAATGGCGGCCGGGCCCGGGAAACCGAGCACAGCCCCCGCTCTCCGTTCATTCACACCCCCCCGCTCTCCCGGTACCGTTTTACCTTCTTGTAGTTCTTGCCCAGCCACAACCGGACGTTGTCGAACTGGCTCACGGTGTCCGAGGCCTCGTAGTACTTCACGTTAGGGCCGCCGTCCTTCTTCCGCACCGCCATCTTGGAGCGGGGCCGCCGCCTCCTCCCTGCCGCCGCCGCCGCCGCGCTCTAGCGCCCCCTGCCGGCGACGCACGGTGACGCACGCGCTCTAGCGCCCCCTGGCGGCGGCTCCTCCACACCTCACCCCCCCCCCCTTCCTTCCAGCTCCGCCGCGCTTCCCGGTTTATCCGCGTTGTTCCCCGGTGTTTCCCGTTTATCCCGGTGGGAACGGGGCCGAACGGGAACGGTGGGAACGGAGGGGGGGGGCAATGAGGTGATGGTGACACGGTGGGAGCCCCCCTAAGCGCAGCGCGGCGGAGGGGAGGCGCGGGAGTCACGGTGGCCGAGTGGTTAAGGCGTTGGACTCGAAATCCAATGGGGTTTCCCCGCACAGGTTCGAATCCTGTCCGTGACGCGACCGCTTCCTTTTGCGATGGGGGGGGATACGGATGGAACCCCCCATTTAAACCCTGCTCTTTCCAATGCGGAAAACACAGGGGGAATTTTCCTTTTGGGACCCCCATTATTACCCTCAGTTATCCCCATCCCTGAATGGAGCAGCATCACCCCCCCACCCCACACCCTACCGGTAGCACGGAGCTAAAGGAAGGAGAACGCCGTTTATTGATGGCTGCAGCCCCGTCCCCACCGGGGCCAGGGAATCCGGTTAAACCCAACCGAAACGGCCAATAAATTAAAGGTCCCGAGGGGAGCAAGGGGGTGGGATCCAGCCCCCGAGCCCTGGAACTGGTCCCTAAGGGCCGGTCCCGGGGCTCGGGGACCAGTCCCTGGGCTCCAATCAGCGCCAACCAAGAGAAGGGCAAAGCCAAACCGGAGCCACGGGCACTGAAGGAAGAGCGGAGAGAACGGGAGCCACCCAAGGGGCGCATGCACAGAGCGAGGGGCCAAGTGGGGGGGATGCTGAGCCCCCCCTTCATCTTCCAGAAGGCTTTGGGAATCCAGAGTCCATGAAGCAAAAGGATGGAGATGAATGGGTTGAGGAGCACAAGGATGAAGGCGGCTCCATCATCACCATCACCATGGAAACAAGGGGGCGGGGTTCAGATCTCCTCCACCCCATGAGCGAAGATCATGACGAGCCCCGGCTCCAGGACCATGTCCTCGCCCATGTGCTGGTTCTCGCAGGCCATCACCACCACGGCCTGCTTGCCGGGGATGCGCTTGGCCACGTAGTTCTCGTAGTAGCGCCGGTTCATTTGCCGCGTCTCCAGCGTGGCCAAGCCCTGGGGCCAGTTGCGTTCGTGGGCGTTCTCGATGAGCTCGTTGGTGATGGAGGGGGGGCAGCCGCTCTCCACCAGGGAGCGCTTGATGACGGCCTGGAGCACGGCGTCCGGGGTGGAGATCATCCCCCCCCAGCGCGTCACCCGCGCCGGCTGGAGGGAGTTCACCCACCTGGGGGGGGGGGCAGGATCAGCATCATGGAGCCGATGGGGCAGCCAAACCATCCCCATTCACCCCTAGCCCGCCATGAGCTCCCCTCGCCTCCAACCTGAACCCAAGTCCCCATCACCCCCTTGTGTCCCCCCCACTTGCACCCCAGTTAATACAGTCAGGATGCAGGTGGCAAGGGGTGAACGCTGCATTGATCTGCACCCATCACCCCCTTGTGTCCCCCCCACTTGCACCCCAGTTAACACAGTCAGGATGCAGGGGGCAAGCAGTGAATGCTGCATTGAGCCAGCCCCCCCTGAACCCAAGCCCTATCTGCACCCATCACCCCCTTTGCCCCCCACCTGCACCCCAGTTAACACGGTCAGGATGCAGGTGGCAAGGGGTGAACGCTGCATTGATCTGCACCCATCACCCCCTTTGCCCCCCACCTGCACCCCAGTTAACACAGTCAAACCCCACCCCACCAACACAAAACCCAACACCCACCCCCCTTTGCCCCCCACCTGCACCCCAGTTAACACAGTGAGGATGCAGGTGGCAAGGGGTGAACACTGCATTGATCTGCACCCATCTCCCCCTTTGCCCCCCACCTGCACCCCAGTTAACACAGTGAGGATGCAGGTGGCAAGGGGTGAACACTGCATTGATCTGCACCCATCTCCCCCTTTGCCCCCCACCTGCACCCCAGTTAACACAGTCAGGATGCAGGTGGCAAGGGGTGAACCTGCATTGATCTGCACCCATCACCCCCTTTGCCCCCCACCTGCACCCCAGTTAACACAGTCAGGATGCAGGTGGCAAGGGGTGAACGCTGCATTGATCTGCACCCATCACCCCCTTTGTCCCCCCACCTGCACCCCAGTTAACACAGTCAGGATGCAGGTGGCAAGGGGTGAACGCTGCATTGATCTGCACCCATCACCCCCTTTGCCCCCCACCTGCACCCCAGTTAACACAGTCAGGATGCAGGTGGCAAGGGGTGAACGCTGCATTGATCTGCACCCATCACCCCCTTTGCCCCCCACCTGCACCCCAGTTAACACGGTCAGGCTGCAGGTGGCAAGGGGTGAACGCTGCATTGATCTGCACCCATCACCCCCTTTGCCCCCCAGTTGCACCCCAGTTAACACGGTCAGGATGCAGGTGGCAAGGGGTGAACGCTGCATTGATCTGCACCCATCACCCCCTTTCCCCCCCACCTGCACCCCAGTTAACACAGTCAGGATGCAGGGGGCAAGGGGTGAACGCTGCACTGAGCCAGCCCCCCCGAACCCCAAGCACTCACTCCAGGATCTCGTTGTACTCAATGGTCTCCTCCAGGTTCTGCAGGTTGGGGTTCACGCTGCGGATGGCGCGCATGTAGGCCTTGAGCAGTTGGATGTCCCTCTTCTGCAATGACATCGGGGGGGGGGGGGACCTTCCCATCATCGCTGCTGGGGCACGAGGGGCCCCCATGGTGCCCTCAGCCGCCTCCTTCACACTGGGGTCCCTATGGGCATCCCTATGGGCACCTCTATGGACATCCCTGTGGGCACCCCTAGGGGGACCTCTATGGGCATCCCTGTGCACATCCCTGTGCACATCTCTATGGGCATTGCTGTGGGCATCCCTGTGGGCATCTCTATGGGCATCTCTATGGGCACTGCTGTGCGCATCCCTATGGGCATCTCTGTGGGCATCCCTATGGGGACCTCTATGGACATCCCTATGGGCATCTCTACGGGCATCTCTGTGGGCATCCCTACGGGTCCCTGTGGGGATCTCTATGGGCATCCCTATAGATCCCTGTGGGCCTCTCTATGGGCATCCCTACAGATCCCTGTGGGCATCTCTATGGGCATCCCTATAGATCCCTGTGGGCATCTCTATGGGCATCCCTATAGATCCCTGTGGGCATCTCTATGGGCATCCCTACGGATCCCTGTGGGCATCTCTATGGGCATCCCTATGGATATCCCTGTGGGCATCCCTACGGATCCCTATGGGCATCTCTATGGGCATCCCTATGGGCATCTCTATGGGCATCCCTGTGGGCATCCCTATGGGCATCCCTATGGGCATCCCTATGGGCACCTCTATGGGCATCCCTATGGGTATCCCTATGAACATCCCTATGGACATCCCTATGGACATCCCTGTGGGCACCCCTATGAGCATCCCCTGGCCCAGACGGCCCCACCTGCTCGGCCAGCTGGTGCTTGTGCTCAGCGGAGCTCTTCTCCAGCTCGGCGATCCTGGTCTGCTGCTGCTGCACCACGGACCTCAAGTGCTTGATGCAGTTGTGGTTGGGGAGCTCGTCCTTGGGCATTTCCAAGCTGGGGAGGAGGGGACAAGGAGAAGGGGAGGGGGTTACAGAGCAGAGCACTGGGCGCCAGCGTGGGAATGGGCTCCAGGATGAAGCCAGTGGGGAGATGCTGGAGGCTGGGATGGGTGCAGGAGCACCGGCTCCATGCAGGGGATGAGCTGTGGCAGGGAATGGGGATGCTCCAGGGCTCCATGCAGGGGATGAGCTGTGGCAGCAATGGGGATGCTCCAGGAGGGTGCTGGGTGCAGGGTGCCGGGTGCTGGGTCCCGGGTGCAGGGTGCCGGGTGCAGGGTGCCGGGTACAGGGTGCAGGGTGCCGGGTACAGGGTGCAGGGTGCCGGGTACAGGGTGCTGGGTGCAGGGCGCAGGATGCAGGGTGCAGGGCGCAGGATGCAGGGCACAGGGTGCAGGGTGCCGGGTGCAGGGTGCAGGGTGCTGGGTGCAGGGTGCTGGGTGCAGGGTGCAGGGTGCAGGGTGCAGGGCGCATGGTGCAGGGTGCAGGGTGCAGGGTGCAGGGTGCCGGGTGCCGGGTGCAGGGTGCAGGGTGCAGGGTGCCGGGTGCAGGGTGCAGGGTGCAGGGTGCCGGGTGCAGGGTGCAGGGTGCAGGGTGCCGGGTGCAGGGTGCAGGGTGCAGGGTGCAGGGTGCAGGGCGCAGGGTGCAGGGTGCAGGGTGCAGGGTGCAGGGTGCAGGGTGCAGGGTGCAGGGTGCAGGGTGCCGGGTGCAGGGTGCAGGGTGCAGGGTGCAGGGTGCAGGGTGCAGGGTGCAGGGTGCAGGGTGCAGGGTGCAGGGTGCAGGGTGCAGGGTGCAGGGTGCAGGGTGCAGGGTGCGGGTGCGGGTGCAGGGTGCAGGGTGCAGGGTGCAGGGTGCAGGGTGCAGGGTGCAGGGTGCCGGGTGCAGGGTGCAGGGTGCCAGGTGCAGGGTGCCGGGTGCAGGGTGCCAGGTGCCGGATGCAGGATGCCGGGTGCAGGGCACAGGGTGCCGGGTCCATGCTCACCCGCAGCCCTGCTCGCAGGTCACGGGGCGCTTGGGGTTGTGCTCGCAGTCGTTGAGGTGAGCCATGAGGTTGTCGAGGCGCACGACGGCCGTGCAGCCGAAGACGGCGTTGTCGCAGGTGATCTGCAGCTTGGAGAGCATGTTCCGCATGATGCGCGGCACGGGCCGCAGGTGAGCCACCGTCACCACGCTGCGGTCCACGGGGCACGTCTGCTGCTGCGAGAACCACTGCGTGATGCAGGCGTTGCAGAAGGCGTGCTCGCAGTGGGGAGCCTGCGGGAGGAAGGCAGCGCTGATGGAGAGCACTGGAGCATCACTGAGCAC